ATATTATATATATATATATATATATATATATATATATAATACTCATTAAACAAGAAGTGGAACCCAAAAAATGATGTACTTTTTTTAATAAATTTCAATAAAAAGAATTAAAAAAAATATATCCAAAAGAATATATTAATTAGTTATTACTAGCATTTCAGCTTCCTTAAGGTGATGTAGAATGCGAAGGATCGATGTCCGAAGCTAGTGAGGCTGAAGTTGGGACTTGGGATGGTGTAGGTAAATATGAGGCGTCCAAGCTTGAAGAAACTATCTTCACAATCAATGATTGGAGCCTAGTATATATACTTATTATATTATCATTGCATTTTAATTAAATTTATAGTTTATTTTAATTTTAGTTATATCTAAAACTTAATATTTCATCTCACTACAATAAAGTTTATTTGAAAATAATAATAGACAAAAAACTTTCATTACAAGTTAAAAATTTGTAGAAAGATGTCTATTTTAAGTTGATCAATATATGATCTATTTGTCTATTATGTAAGTTATATCTTGTAGATATTAGGATAAGTCATATTTTAAATATATAGATTTAACTTATTTTACAACATTAAGGATTAAGCATAATTTATTATAGACTTTTATATAGGTCTATTTTGATCTTAAAATATATTAGTTTATTAATATATTTAAAAGTTTATTTTACATTAATGATATTAAATAGTCTAATAAGTTTAATTTTGGGCAAATCATTATTTATTATTTTTTTTAAAAAAAAAGCCTATGAGCCTTACTTTAAAATTTACATGATAAAAATATTATTTACTCTATCTGTGATGCTTTTCTTATTTTGTTAGAACATGAAATTTGAACAAGTTGCTTCTTCACTTTTGCAGTGATACATATGCTAAAGTGGAAAAAAAATAAAATAAAAAATAAAATAAAATAAAAAAATTGGAGGAGCCTACAAAATATAATCTATATCTTTCTGCACTCATGGGCCTAATTCCCAGCTTCTATTCGCATCCTAAGATCACAGTCACAGCTCAATATTTGTAGTCTTTAAACAAAATATAAATAATACCAGTCATCTAATTAACTATGGTTAGAGAATTAAGCACTTTCTCTTTGTTAACAGACTTGTATTGGTATGGAATAACATACTCAATGAGAAACATATTTCATAAGTCCATGCAGTTGAGTGGTAAATCTTTTCTTAATCAGATATATGTAGATCCCAAATAGAGAAACAAATAAATAATGGATATATATAGGCAAAGAGAAAAGTTTACCAGCACAAATACACCTCCACTCCTAAAACAAGTGTCAAAAAACCAAGTTCCTCAGAAGAGATAATGAAAATTGAATTAAATAATGACCAGTTGCAGATTCTTGACATTGTAAAAGATATTATAAAATAGCGGCAAGATTTAAAAAAGCATCAAAAGGTCTGCTGAGACAGCAACAATCATGCCAATTATTAATCTTGAGCAAGAAGGGGGCCTCCAAGCAGCTGTACCACAAAGCAAGACTATATTAAAATTGATTCCCTTATTAGATATGACAAGGAAACTAAGTCTAACCATATCACTATGTTTTAATTTCAAATTAATATGATAAAGGGTTAAATAAGGCAACAACTTCAATTACAAAAGAATCAACACAAGTATGAAAGGACTCACCACTTAGAAGAGTAGAGGCATTAGAATAAAACTGATAATCATTGTACCACATGAAACAATTAGATCCATAAATTTCCCATCTTCTTTTGTTTCCAATTAAAGTTCTGAAGTTGTCCAATTGATCATCCAAACACCTTCTGCAGTCCCCTCTGCTGATATCCCTTGTGCATTGAGCCATGCCATACCTCTTCTTCCCACTTTGACTAGTGTTCAAGTTCAACACTTCTGTATGGAACATGAATGACTTTTCTGGAGCCACAGCTGCTACTCCACTCATGAAGGGAAGCCCTTCAGATACCACAGAAGGGTCATCAAAATCAGTCTCATTTGTGATTGCCACAGCTGTTGGTTGCATATTTCCAAAGAAGCTCTCATTGGAGTACCTTAGGAAACACCACCTAAACCAAATTGAAACATCTTTGCTCATAGGACAATCATTTGAGGCCGCTCTTGTAGAATTAACGGTGCAATCAGAACAATTGCCAGCAGATATGTCCCCTCTACATAACACTGAACCATAAACCTTGTTGCCCTTTTTTCCTACTATGGTTTGGTAAAAGCCATGGTGTTCCACCACATTAGAAGCAAGAGAATCCAACAAACTTCTCAGATTGGCCTGAAATGCTGTGCCTTCACTGACAGAATAATCAGTTTCTGAGCATTGAGAACCTGCTTTCATGTTGGTATCAGCAAGGGAAAAACCATTTGGAAAGAGCAAAAGAAAGAAGCTGATAACACATGGCACAACAAAAACCAAGTGCAGTGTATCCATCTCTTTGCAACCCCTTCCGTGGCAGAAGAATATGATCAGAACTCAGAAGCATTGAGTGTGTCACCTACCTTGCAAAATATTGAAGTTCTATCGGTTTATATAATATTGACCTTTAATTAACAGTTTTTTTATGTGCAAGTGTGCAAAGTCAACTCTTGAGTGACGAGCAAATGATCATGAATAAAGTTGTACACGACAATTTTTTAGATTGTGTAGTATAAGTCAATAATTTTTTAGAGCTTTGTTTAGTCATTAATTTATCTTTATCTATGAACCTCGGAAACACAAACAAAACGCTAAGTAGTTGAATTGCTGTGGATAAGCATTCAGATTATATGATTATGATTAAGATTAGTCAGAAGAATATCCTGCTCAATCTCTTATTGGTATACTTCGTGAACCATCTCTTAATTCGTGTTAGAACTTAGTGGAGTGAAAAACTTGGGCATCTGGGAGATAAATCAGAAGTTAAACCAGCTAGTGGAAATAACCTCAATTAGTATTATTTGCACATGAAATTACATACATTTTTATTTTTTGCATAAATTGTGTGAGGGAAAGTAATTTAATCATTTGTTAACAAAAGTGAATGTTGTATGAAAATTTTGACATGTAACAAACATAAGCATTAAGATAAACATTGGCAAAAGGAGCGCTCCACTTTGGCTAGAAATGATGTTCCTGGTGACTGCTATGAGGAAGAATAATAGTTGGGATTTCTAAATTCTAACCCAATGGGGTCGCAATGAGATTTCTTTCCTAAAACTCATTAGATAATGAAAAGATGTGCAACGGGCACGCTCGTCAATTAATTTTATTGTTGAGTTGACGCAAAGATAGAATGAAAAGTTACCCACTCATGTCAACTTGACAAACTCTTAAAATATTATTCAAATAACTAATTAGATTATTCAACTTTGTACTCTACTTCGGTTTTTATTCAAAATAAAAGTTATTTATACAACAAATTGTAAAATTAATGTTATAATGAGAGAGGGAAAAATGGTAACATACGATAGGTAAATTTTTTTTGAGTTATTACATGAATAACATAACTCTTTATTTAAAACTTAATAATATCTTTCGGGTGGTTTGTGAGTTTTTATTTTATTTTTTTAAATACAACTTTCAAAACAAAATGTATTTGGTTAAAATGGAAATGAAATAATTTTTAACTCAATTTTGAAAACACTTCTATATTTATTTTCAAAATCAAGAAAAATAATTTATGAATTTAATTTTTAAATACATACATTATTATTTCATCTTATCGTTATCACCACTATTATAATTTTGTTATTACTATTATTTCACCACCATGTCTTAGTAATTATCACTATTATCACACAAGCATGCTCTTAAATTAATTTTATTAGACAAAAGTAAGCTTATTTAAAACAAAATATTAAAATAAAACTAAAACTAATTTGTAAAAATATTGTAATTTTAAAAGTTTTTGAAACTTACTACTAAAAACTAATACTAAAAAGAACTAAAAGAATCTACTTTACCTTTGCAAATATTCATCAAATTATGGAGTACCTAGTCGTAGTATGCAATGTTTGGAGAACCTAATAAATATTTATCAAATTATGATTAGCTGTTGTTCCATACTGAACTTCAGCCTTGGGCCATCCATGGGTTACAATGCCACAACTCAAGTCTAGGACTTGGAAACTCATTATATCCCTTTTGCCCTATACTAGGTCCCATTCAAACTTTCTGTCTAGGATAAAATAACCAAGTCTATTAAATTGAACCTTTTTATTGTCAAATTTTCGTAACCTTGTTTGGAAAATAATATTAGAATAACCAAGTGTGATCAAATTGGGCTTTGAGATTGACGTATATGGATTATCTCATACTTCTAAATATTGGGCTTGTGCGATTTCTTTTCTTCTGTTGGGTTGCATGGTTTGAAAAGCCGAACAAGGTCTCACAGTTGGGGCAAACAAGCTCACCGTGGACAAAAAAGGCCCAACAAGGTCTCACACTCACAGTTTGAGAACAAAGACCGGGATACTTCCTTTTTCTAATAATTGTGAAGATGTCATAACTCATAAGAGAATTCAAGATTATTTTAAAAAAAGTTAATATGTTAAAGAATTTAATTAATAATCGTTATCTGCATAGTTTCACACTAACTGCTACTTATATTTTAACAGATTTTTGTGTATTTATCTTAATTCATGCAAGAATGTAGTAGTAAGAACAAATATCTATCATAATTCTTCAAAAAAAAAAATCACCTTTCATCGATCACGAATTGGCGGGTTTCATTATAGGAACTTTTTCGTAGTCCATTTCCTAGGGAATAGTCAGAACAGTTGCTGAGATGGGGTGATGAGGTGAATTTGGTTAAAAAGATTGTAAGTACAAAAATAATCAAAATATAATTATAATAATCATTTAAAAAATGAGTTGTAGGTGTAGATTAAATACTCAATGCTTAGAATTAATTTCGACCACAAATATAAAATATGTTACTCATTTTTTTAATAAAAAATAGATAGTAATATATTTTACGCTATTATTTATTTCTTATATAAAATAGAGATAATTAATATAATTTATCTAAAACAGTTTTTATCTCCCGCAACACACATAGTAAAAATGTGTTTAGAAAAATGTATTAAATAAGTTTTGTTGGCATTCTTTTTGTGTAAAATAAGCCATCATTTATTGATAGTAAAAAATTTTATTTATAAAAAATGGTATATAGGAAGTGAATGACGACATAACGGAGTTTCTCATATTAAGTACTATTATCCACTTATTAGTTAATTAAAACTTGATAGTACCTAATTTGATCAAGATTTTACTTGTTAAATTAAAAATTAAGAAAAATTCACTAATATAAATATGTCTATTAAAATAATATTTTTTAATAGTCTCGAAAGATGACAAACCCATAAATTTAGATCAAATCTTAGACTATATGCAACAGTTCATAATAACTTATTAACAATGATATATATATATGCACGCTTATATATATAGTGATTTTCTCCTATAAAAATATGCTAACCTATCAGAAAGATTGCTTATAAGCTTACAGGTTGTTATAGTGAAATTGGATTACATATATGTTTCTTAATAATTTATAGTTGATTTTAATTTAAATAATAATTTTATTCATTTTATTATTTTAATTAATTTTTTATTGAAGTATTTAGTGAGAAAATATATTTAGAGAGACTCAAAATTGATATTGATATTGATATTGATATTATAATAAAAGTAATATTTTAGTTTTGTCATTAGTTTATTTTTAAAATAATCTTGAATGGGTTTTCTTTATAGACAATAGATATCTCCATTTAAAAAAAAAAAAAACTTATTTAAATTGGTTATGATAATTATAAATTTCATGAGTATTTAATATAAGTATATATCTAAGATTCAAATTTGACTCTACAAATTAAAAACAATCTTGTATTAGATAATTAATGTATTCGGTGATTAATTTTTGTTGATTTAATAAATAATTAATATTATTATTAGTTAATGAAAGGAAAATTAACCCCAAACATGTAATTTAGTGGTAGGAGTTGATCCACGCTTAAGCAAGGTTAGGGGTTTGAATCCTTTGAGGTGCCTCTACCCTAGCGAGGAGATTAGTCACTGTTATTGGTCCTGGATACTCCAGGGACGAACCAGAAAAAAAATGAAAGAAAATTTTTTTGTAAATAAATAATAGGTATATTAATTAATTAAATGGTTATAAGTTTTGTTAAATTTAATGTTGGTGTAGTAGTTTTAATTTTATTGTTCTAGTAATCAATCATGTAAATAATTTTTAACTTTTTAAACAATACTTAGGTGAACCTACTAACTCAAAAGTTACTCTCCTTTTACGGGTGATGTAATAAATGATTAAATTATTATTAGTTAACATAAAAATCTTTATATTTTTTTACATAAATGACAAAATTCTTTTTTTTTTATCTATAAAAGTTTTAGATAAATTAAGTCTTCAGACTTACTAAAATCAATATATATTTTAAGATTTTGTAAATGTTTATAATAGTGTTTGTCTTTACAAATTGTTCTTCAACAAGATTCTCACATTAACAATGAAAATCAAATATATATATATATATATATATATATATATATATATATATATCTATTATA